CTCCAAACTTCGAAATTTCTTCAGTTTTCCCCCAAAAAAATGTCGCTGAGCGAGGAGAGATGAGGAGGGGTAGGGTAATATGTAGCGCACCTAGAAAAAGAAAAGGCGTGAATGGTCAACAACCGAAAACCTTTTCATAAAGGCAGATGCGGCTCTAATATTTTTTGATTTTTTTTTTTTTATGCCTTTTTCATGCCTGCACAACTACACATTTGTGTAATAAATAGTAAAGATGTGACTCTATCTTTCTTTCTCCGTCGACCAGATTACGACCCTTTCGCTGGGGACAGTTACCTATACAGCCCAAGTTTTGCGTCCTTTAGCCTTCTGAGGAACAATCAGAAATTGCGATTCGAAGTAGCTTATGCAAGCGATTTCGTAGTTTTTCAGTTCAGAAATAGCTTACGCACTGTGCCTTTTGGTCTATGGAACATTTCATCGTACAGACGTGCTAGGTTAGTCAAATCGAGAATTTCCATATAGCTTACATTAACATATTTTTAACTAGTTCTTAGTACTGTCGCTCTGTGCTGGCTAATCTTCATCAGTACTTCAGAAGTATTTAGATGTCAATTATATTCCTGACCTCTAATACCGACCTCAGTCTAATTGCCAAGGGAATATCCTGACACACGCGTTTCTGATTCGTCGGCAAGCGGTCATATCGTATCCGGAGGATAACCTCGCACTAGAGGACCTGCCCTAGGACCATGGGCCAGGATGTGTCAGGTATGGCGCCAATTAAATGAGGGTGGAGTCGAGATATGGAGGATGACCTCATATAAGTAGGTGCTCAGAAAGTTCATTCTTGTCATATCCGCTGTTTGATAGTGTTCTGTTTGGTTCTTGAAATAGAGTTATTACCTCATACTTTCTTCTTATTTGTTTATTTGGTGCGGCTTCAAAAGAGATCTATTGAATATTATCCTTATTTTATTTTAGATGTTCGCTGAGCAACTTCAGTTCAGCCAGGAAATAACTGCTGACCAGTTGCTTGGAAATCAGGTAATATCTATTCCCTCAAAATTCTAGTATATTCTCTTGCTTTATTAAATACGCTCCAAACTGAGCTGTTGATAAATCAAAAGCTTATTTCAGATGCGGTCAAGGAAAAGACCACTTGATGATATGAATCCAAATGGGGAGCCTGCGAAGCGGCTGGATGACAGGAATAAGGAGAATTGTTCTCCAGAAATGGCTATGGTAGGTATTAATAGTCCTCATACATACTATTTTGTTCGATTTGCTTGCCAAATTTTTTAATTTATAGGTCCCGCCGATGTACCACAGCACACCGCTAATGGCAGGTCAACGCGACTTCTTCAATCCAAACATGGGGCCGCAGGTAGCGCTTTTTATGATTGATAATCACATCGATTTTCTGGAGAACCAGAGAGCTTGAGATCCTTTGACTCCCTAACTTTGGCTATTTTCATTCTAGAATTCAGTTTCAGATGCCGTTCTACCCGAACTTCTTTCAACAGCAGTCGACGCTCTCGTTTATGGAACAGAATTCGATGTCTTCTGATAGTGGAGTAGTTTCGGTAAGCAGAAATTTTATATAGTTGAAATGGATAAATTTAGTCTTTTCCGCCACAGATGAGAGGGCGTGCCAGTGGGCCTGGGTAT